TTTTGTGAACACATACTTTGTAAACACTTTCTTTCTAATGAAATGGTTGTTCATTACTTTGCTTACTATAATACATATTTTGTGATACTAAACATGACGTCCTCCACCCCCGAACGTTTCCGCCGTTCCGGTTTTGGGGTGTGACACAACCTCAAGTTCCTTCAAAAGAACACCAAAGGACCAACTCTTCAAGCTCACACACTCAATTTGGGAGAGGATGCACAAAAATTAGGGTTTCTGGACAGAGGAGGCATGTAGGGAGGCCATTCATAGGACTTAAGACCTTTAAATAGAGTGGAACACCCTAAAAATTAGGGTTTCATAATCAGCCACCAACTCGTTGAGTTTTCCTCTCCAACTCGTCGAGTTGGTCCAAAAAGATGTGCGGCCCAAAGCCTTTCAACACGTTGAGTTGAGGCCATCAACTCGACGAGTTCCAAGGGAATCTTGCATTTTGAATAAAAATTCTCATACCTGAAAATCAAGATGTTACAAACTTGTTGGTAGTCAAGCATATTGGTACCAAATATGTTTGGTACGATACTGGTAACAATTTTTTTTATACCAACTATAGTTGGTACAGTACACGGTTTAAAAAAAAAAGAATCGATACTGTAACATGTTCACCCCTAATTATTATTGCATATAAGTTTTAGTTGTATATTTTTGAATTTTAATTATCTAAGTTTTATATAAAATCAAATAGATCATCATAATTTTAATGTATAAAATCATATTCTACTATATTAAGTAGAAATGAGTTTAGGAATAAATTTTTGCCAGATATTATTTTACTATTGGCACATTTAGTCTCTATAATTATATAATTTGCAGCAAAAGGTTCTTATGAGTTTTTTTTAACAGAAACAAACTCTATATTTAAGATTTTCGTATGTTGGTAGGTTTATAGAGAAGATATTTATGCATTTCTTTTTTTATAGAAACGGTTTATATGCTTAAACAAATTGCAAAAATAGTCTGCACCTAATATAAAATTTACAAATTACTCCTCCCCTCCTCATAATATATTGTCATGTTTTGTTTCTATACTTTTTTGTTATCACCCTTTGGCCACATAAATTTTATATATTTGTAGGTTTGCTACCTACACTTTTGTAGTGATGTAATTTCGATCCTGCTTGCATTCCTACGAAACCAGAGACAATTTCTAGTTCTTATTAAGTGAAAATAAAACTATACATAGGTCAAAATAGAACATATACGGGTTAATGGGCGCAATGCCTACAAAGTTGAAAGCAAATAAAGTATTTCTCTCTTTGTTTTGTTATTTATTTATTTTTTTTTTGGTTTTTTGTTTTTATTATTATTATTTTTTTTCTTTATGTGGTGGTGGCTAAATTACTTAAATCAATATTATCCAAATTCCAAAGTAGTGGGCCCAACTATGTCAATAAAAGACAAGGCCCAATTATCTAAGATCCAACCCAACAACACGAAATGTGTGCAAAGCACGTGACAACTCATCCATCATACACCACCAGTCCACCACCCAATTATCTGATCTTTTTTAACTGAAACCAACAGCCATCCACACAAACACACTCTCTCCATTTTTTCCTCTTTGGATCAATCGAGTTGTTCATAGATCAGTAGATGGCTGGTGTCCTCGAAACTCTTACTGTTCCCCGAACTTCCGGTTTTCCGTCGGCGTCTTTGTCTCCGATCGTCTCTTCTCCTCTTTCTCGGCTCTCTAGTCGCCGGAATATTATAAAATTGCCGGAATCAAGAGGTTTGAGAATCCAGTCGTTTGGTTCTTCCAGATCGGTGAGCTTGAGAGCTAAATCTGGTCGCCGTGGAGCACGTATCGTATGCGAGGCTCAAGAAGCCGTCCAAGGTTAGAATCGTACACTATGCACTTTTTCCAAATCGAATCATGTTATACTCTTTTGACCTAGTTTTTTTCTGTAGCTATCTGTTGTATTAGTTATCGTTATATCAATTTCTATATCTGTAACGAATTTGTGCGTAAAAACTCTGTTTATGCTCGGAAGACGAATCATCAGATTATGTTAGCAATATTAGATTGAAATTAGGCGCTGTAAATCGATTCAAATAGACAGTGTGCTGATTTGTAGAATTAAAGTTGTTCAGTGTACTGATTCGTAGAATTTCCATGCAACACCTACTTCTTTTCAAACAAAAGAAATGATTTACATTTTGTTTCAAATCTAACATCAGTATAATCTTGCAGTGCTTCCTGTCACTGATGCAACATGGCAATCACTAGTCCTGGAATCTGGTCTCCCTGTAATGGTTGAATTCTGGGCTCCATGGTGTGGGCCATGTCGTATGATTCACCCAGTGATAGATGAACTTGCAAAGGAATACAACGGGAAGCTCACTTGTTACAAGGTAAATACTGATGAGAGTCCTTCAATTGCAAGCCGATATGGGATAAGAAGCATTCCAACTGTCATTATATTCAAAGATGGAGAGAAGAAAGATGCTGTCATTGGTGCAGTTCCTAAATCAACCCTGTGTAGCTGCATAGAGAAGTTCTTGTAGAGGTATTGTTATGTATATACAGTTCTAGATTTGTTCTTATTTAGTTCTATAATCTGTTTCATGATGTCTACCTTTTGATGTCATGAAGCAGATGCTTTGGCCTTTGAGCATCATCAATAATTTCCCCGTATAGTTGGATCTTAATGTATTTTCTGAAGCCAAACTGCAAAAAAACCATTTGACATGTTTATTGTTTTCTTTTACTCTTGCTCAAAGTCAAAACCATTTGACATCTTCTTCAAGTGGTTTGTTGAGGAAATCAGACTTTATTTTGCAATTATTTTGAAAGAGATATGGTGTTGAAAGAGATAACATTATTTTGCAATTAGGAAAGAGTAGAAGAAACTAGGTGGTGGTGTTGGGATAGTGACAAACTGACAAGGATGATGAAAATGAAAATGAAGATGAATATGAAGTAGGGGAAGATGGAAATAATAAGAGGTGAGGGGTTTTTTGTTAATATAAAAGTATCAATAATGATAATATAATAAACAAATACCAAATATTAACAAAAAGATTAAATTAGGATAAAATTATCATTTCACACTCTTTTACTGTCAAAACTTTAACGAAATCTAATTTAGCAAACACCACCGAATAAAGTAAAACAACAAGGACTTTTTGGGATGAAATTCATATGTTTTGATAGACAACAAGGACCAAATATGTAATTTTCCCTTATTTTAATTTTAATTGAAGTTGTAAGAATTAAGAATTGGCCATGTGTTTAGCGAAAAGAAAAAAAAAAGATTTGGTCCATTAGAAAAATGTTGCAAGAAATGTGTTTATGGGCATGTTTGACTATAATTTTGTTTTTTTTTTATCAAACTGAAATAACTAATTTAATTGTAGGGCATTATACAAAAATATTTATACATAAAAGATTAGTTTATAAAGAATAAATATCAAAAATATTAAAATTAAACTTTATATTCTTTTGTAGATGGTTATAACATCCATAAACAATATTTATCTCAATTTTTCTGGTAGAAAAAGACAAATTTAATGGCTCAACCCCTCAAACCACTTCACACCTTCTTTAAATCACCTATCATGTCCTCCATGCCTCCTTCACAGACAACCAACCATAATACCGTATGAATATGAAGTTGCCGAAACACACCCTGCATTATCGGTGCTGCTTCTCTTTAATTGGACTGTACCAAACAACTAATGACTTTGATAAAAATCGAAATCCAAAGCAATCGACATAACTATCTATAAAACCTCCATATATGGCTAGATTCCAAAGCACACCCCTTGCAAAAACATATATCCCTTACTATCAAATTATTTTGGGGCATCAATTTAGTGCTCCCTTGAGTGATAGTCGAAAATGAATGAGGTTGACTAGAATATAGGATATTATTGATAGGGAGTCTGGAGCATGTATTTATGGGTCAATGGAGGTTTTGATTTTCCGACAAAGGTGATCAGGTTTTGGTTTTCAACAGGGTTGAAGAAAATAAATAGAAGTTGAATGAGGGTGGGGTGTTTAGGTTTAATAGGTTTGGTAGAAGGTGGTAGAAGTGGAGGATAGTGGAGAGTAGATGCAAATGGTGGTCTTGGTGACTAGAGCATGCGTAATACGTCACAGGGTTGTCATTGATGGCCATTGAATAAGTGAGGGTGTCGGTGATTGCATGAAGATAGGGGAGGTGTTGAATACAAGATTTGGTCATCTAATGGGGTTCGTTCAACCTATAAGGATATTTTTAATTTTTTTTATTTAAATTTAAATTATAATATAAAAATAATAATTAATAAATACGAGAAGTAAAATAATAATTCATAGGGTAAATTACATGAATTGTCTCTCGTACATATGTCAAAATGCACGTTCAGTCCCTATTTTCAAAAATTAACTCGGACCGTCCCTCGTTTGTTTAAACTTTCACACTTCCTCCATCCGGACACAAAAAGAATATTTTGCCCTTAACAATTTCTTTTTCAATTTTTTTAAATTTATTGTTTTTAGATTAAACAAAAAGAAAAATATATCTTCATCCTCCCCCCCCCCCTTTTTCTTTCCACAGTCTCCTTTCATCTCCTTACCTTTCCAGCCCAAAAGTCCAAAACATCACTACCACTATTTATTTCTTTCCCCTTTTGCTATAATTCTCCCCCCCCAGAGAGAAAGTTTGAAGAAAAATGAAAATGGATAAGGAACATGAATCACATAAAGCAAGAAAATCATGTTTTTCCGGATAAAGGGTAACAAACTACAAAGATCATTACCTGAAAGAACAACATTTTTCGAAAACCAAACCATAATCGCCTCTCCTTTTTCCAGCAAGAGGGTAACAGATCTATTGAAACCGCCGGAAACAATCATCCACTGCCACTATAAACATCTCTCTCTCTCTCTCTCTCTCTCTCTCTCTCTCTCTCTCTCTCTCTCATAACTCCAACAAGCACCAGTTCCACCACCTGCTAGGGTGTGTTTGATTGAGAACAAGATAATTGGTTTCCCTGTTCTCGAATTGTGGTTGTCGATCGAAGTGAGAAGATAAAGGAAGGTTTCACCATTGCACGAGAAAAGGGAGTGTTTAATTGGCGGGCTAGAAAATATAGGTGATCCATCGCTACAACAAACCCTAACTGTCTCTCATTTTTCCGGCTAGAGGGTAGCTGTCTACACTCCTGCGCAAGCTTTTACCTTATCGTTCAGATTTGCATTCCAACAAGAGGCTAGATCCTCCGATGGTACTGATGATGGAGCGGTGACAAGTGGTGTTCGAATGGGGTGTTTGTCAGATGGTGTTTATATATGAGAGTGGTGATGGTGAAGGAGGTGGTGGTTTGTGGTTATTTTTCAGGAAAACAGGTGGTGGTTATGCAGATTTCCAGTGGTGGTTATGTATTTGTTGTGACAATAAAATAAGATCGATAGATTCAAGAACAGGAATAGGAATCAAAACACAAAGAATTATGATCGAAGTAGTGCTTAATGATTAAAATCAATGCCTTAGAAGACTTCGATGAAGCACTTCTACTGTAAAGGCACGGTAGGGCAGAATACAATCGATACCTAATTACGGTGCATGCATGCACTATAAATAGTCTAACCCTAGCATCATTAAAAAACCGGATGGACACGCCCAACCCGTTACACAATGGACTATTCTATAAAACATTACAATTGACACAACACAAAATAACCCAACAATCTCCCCCTTTGTGTCAATTAAGGAAGGAGACTCTTCATTGATGTTGGCGTTTCTGAGTCTTGAAGAGTTTGGGCATGAGACTGAGCAGGGTGCTGCGAACTGTTATATACCATCTGATCATATCTGCGAAGCATTTCTTACTTGCAGAATCGTTCGCTTTGCATTGCCCGATTAACTCCAGAATGTAGTTCAAGCAGGAAGTGGAGTAAAGATGCTTGTCTGAAAGGGAAAAGAAACACCTCTGAGCATTCGAACCATCTCTAGCTGTAACACCGTAAATTTTCGAACAAATTTTTCATTTTTTTTTAATTACAAAAATTCTCATAATACATTTCACAACAATTCCAATTATCAAATTAACAAAACACAATTC